CTGGCATGGACGAGTCAGCCAATAAGAGGTTTTCCTTGCAGCTGCAAGCCTTGGGGAGTGAAAGGACACTTGCTGGTGACACAGTTGAGTGTTTCGCTTCAAAAAAAACATGGGAAAACTCTGATACCTTCCAGATAATTTGCGGGTCAGATATACAGAAGGCAAATAAAAATCTGAGTTAGCTAAGTACAAGCTGATGTACAAATCTCTATTTAGGTTCAAACAGCTTGCAGACTGGATGACATTAAATTTGACGATTCCCAGTTAGGGATGATAAAAATTGAACTTTTTTTTTCTCTTTAAACCCCAAGCCATTACAAGAAGAGAGGGTTTACTCAAAGTTGAAGTTGAATAGCTAGTAAAAAGCAAACGGAAATGTGCATTACGGGTAAAGATTGGAAAGATTTTAAATCCAGTTAAGAAACTGGACTATTTGGAAAAACACAAAAGTCTATTTTAAAATACCCGTATTGCATCTGCATGGGTGGAGCAACTTCACGGTCTAACCTAACACACCTGCCTCATCATTCCTATTCTGGGAAGACAGGTTCTGCTTGGTGCTGCGCAGGGGCAGAGCAGCGTTTGCCTTGCGTTCCCTGCACATCCCAGATTCATCAATATCATCCGGGTTATTGAGCCAGCATGGCGGTGTCCCTGAGCAAAGCCTTTTATTTCATGCAGTTAATGCAGCTAAATCTTTTTTTTTTCTTCTCTCAACTTTTATCTTCACATTTCCAAACTTTGGGGGAATGAGGTTAGAGGAACACATGAGGCCATGAGTTCAAGACTAGCCTGAGCAACAGAGAAAGATCTCATCTCTACAGAAAAAAAATAATAATTAAAAAAATTAACCAGTTTTGGTATGCCCCTGTTGTCCCAGCTATTCAGGAAGATGAGGCAGGAGGATTCCTTGAGCCCAGGATTTCAAGGTTATAATGAGCTATGATTGTACCACTGCACTCCAGCTTGGGTAACAGGGCAAGGCATTATGTCTAAAAATATTAAGATTACAAAATTTTTAAAAAATTAAACCTACAAAAAACTTGAAAAAAAATGTAAAGAGCCACTAACATCACCCAATTTCACCAATGGAGCATTCTCTTATGTAAATATAATGCCAATCATCTTCCCAGCGTACTTAACATTGATACACTAGTATTATCTAAAATAAACTCCATACTTAAACTTCCTCAATTGTCCCTGTAGCCTTTTTATTGTCTTTTATGACTGGAACAATTTTGAAGAGTCCAAGCCAGTGTTTTGCAAAATGTCCCTATAATCTGAATTTATCTAATTGCTTCTTTATAATTAGATTCACGTTAAAATATTTTTACCAAAAATATGACACAGATGATGGTGTGTGCTTGCATTGTATTGTATCTGGGGGCAATGATGTCTGTTTGTCTTGTTTTTGTGAAGTAAAGTTTGATCACTTGGTTAAGGTGGTAACTGCCATATTTCTACTTTGAAGAGATATCCTTTTTCATCATAATTTTTTTCTCCATTTACCCAAAGGTTTTAACATCTATTGATGATTTTTGCTTTATTGCACTGGTATTAGCAGAGTTAATTTGTCTGATTTTTTTCATTCCTTTTGTATGCATCAGATAGAACCGTCAATATCTGGGTCTTTCTGACACTGAAGCTCATACTCTTTCTAGTACACGAGCTATCTTTTTAATATGTAAACAAATAAAGCTAGTCATCTGAAGCCGCTAGGAAAAAAAAAATTTTAATTTATCTCTTGTTTGGAGATCCATTATGTTTCATCTTGGCAAAAATGAACTCCTTCTGTAGCTTTGAAACCTGCTTTTAAAATCCCAAGACTACAGCACCCACAGAGCTGTTATTTTTAGGGCTCACGTTTGAAGGAACGGACTCGAAAGATGTTCCCATCAGTTTCCCTCTCTCAGCATCACTGACATTCCTCCGCTCCGTTGGGGGTCCAACTTCGCTTGACTGATTTACTGATTGATGATTTCTTGTGTTTGGTGTGGAGGGGGGAGCATTGGAATAAAAATGTCAATTTGGGCTTTCTGTTTGTTTTTAGTGGCAAAGCTGGCTTGAAGAGTTTGGTGAAGCTACTGCCTTTTTCCCTGAGGCAAGATCCTGGAATTCCCTGGGTTGAGGAGAAGGTGGAGCCTGCAAAGCAGCCTTATGGAGACCTTGACCGTACCACCTCCAGGGAGAACTTACAGACCCAGTTCTAGTCAGTCAGTGCCACGTGGGATGACAAGAGGGAGCCGGGGCCCTGCAGGCCTCGCTGGCTGCTCCGACGTGAGTACACAGACACGGCTGATCAGAGAGGAAGCCCAAGACGGAAGCAGTGACACTTTCTTTTCTTTCCCAGTACCTGCTTTCACTGAAAATGTCCTTGCTTTAATGAAATGAGCGTGACTAGATTCCCACGGGAAACCACACAGAGAGAAACCTCATTCTACCTCTCTCCCTTCTCTGTTGTATTAAGTGGCAACAACTCCTCTAATCACTAATAAATTCAGGTTTACAAGTCACAATAGCAGTGCCAGGGTTAGGCTGTGAGTGTTACAAGCACTCAAAAGGGCCCCCAAATTAAAATAAAAAGTATTCTCGTTTGCGATCTTTGTACTGTTTAACGTGAGTATTTCAACAGTCTTTATTTTCCAAACATGCAAACAGGAGAGCGTGATCTGACCCACAGCGTATTGACATATTATCTAGCTATAACCTTGAGATAAAAAGTAAAGGAAAAAGTCAAAACAGCTGCTCAAACCAAATACTAATGCAAACAAGCCTTTCTTCACTCCCAACCCCTATCTCCAATATCAATGGAACAAACTAGCATTAACACTCATGGACAGTGGTGGATGCCCTTGGAGCTGTACTTGTGCCGCTTCCGGGGAATGGGGAGCCCAAATCCAAATCGGAAAGTCTAATGTATTAACCAACTAACTGAACAAATACTTATTACTATATGTATCTGCTCTGGGCCGGGTTCTAGATGTCGGGGATATCTCATCTATTTAAGGGATGTATAAGACTCGCAAGGTCTCTGCCCTTGTGTAATTTATCTAGTGATGTTAGAAAAAAAAAAATCAGAGAATATAGCCTACAGTATTGAGAGGAGATAGGAAATAGCAACTGTACCAGAAAGCATGGGCTGGTTTCCTGGATTCGGTATATCCAGGAATGCAATTGCTTAAAAATCTGGGTCAAACTGTGGAATGACTATTAGAGATAGAAAGGCGGGGGGTGGGGGAAGGCAGAGAATCAAAGAGAAGCTTCTCTTTCCATCACTCACGGGACGGTCCTTTGGACGTTTTTACCGAATTATTGTTCAGAAAGAGTTAAACATAATGTTTATAGATGATAAATTGCAGAGCAAGACTCCGTCTCAAAAAAAAAAAAAAAAGCCAACCGTGACTGCACCTTTTTTCCACGCTACAAGAACCCCAAAGGTGGAATATTCCAACTTAACAGCAGTAACTTTCTGAACATCCTTGGTAGGCTAAGCTCTGGGCTAGGCATTTATGGGTTTAGCTCATTGAATCCTCTCAACCAAATTCCTGATGAGGTAAACACTAATTTTTATTCCCATTTCTCAGATGAAGAAAAGACCTAGAAAAGTAACTTGCCCTTACTCAAGGGCACAAATCTGGTAGAGAGTAGAACCAGAATGGGATCACAGCTCCATCTGACTCAAAATCAGTGTCCTAAACCACTATATTTGCATTTATAAACTTATATTTCATCATTTTATTTCAGTAAAAAGGAAAAAAGTGTTAAATAGAAAAATTAGTCAGATAGCTCCAGAAGGTAACCTGTGTTTTTAAGATATTACCTTGGAACAGACATCCAAATATATCCTGTCAGTCAAAATCAAATGACACCATTTTCTCAAATGCACGAAAAGTAAGAGATGACTTGTAACTGCCTAAATGTAGCTAAGTTCAATATCTCAAATCAGAATTGCGATTCAAGAATGAATGGGGATCAGAGTTTTATTCAACTGATAAATTACTCCTCAAAGTTTTATTTTATTTTACAACTGCATACATTCCCATCATCATACTTTATTTGAAAATTGAATTAATAATCATTCTCAGCAAACTGACACAAGAGCAGAAGATCAAACACTGCATGTTCTCACTCATAGGCGGGTGTTGAACAGTGAGAATACATGGACACAGGGAGGGGAGCATCACACACTGGAGTCTGTTGGGGGAAATGAGGGAGGGACAGCGGGGGGTGGGGAATTGGGGAGAGATAGCATGGGGAGAAAGCCAGATATAGGTGATGGGGAGGAAGGCAGCAAATCACACTGCCATGTGTGTACCTATGCAACAATCTTGCATGTTCTTCACATGTACCCCAAAACCTAAAATGCAATAAAAAAAGAAGTTACCCTTAAAAAAAAAAGACAAATATTAAACATATAGACTATTTAAAAAAAATAGTAATAATAAAATAAGTTGACACTGGTTTAGTGAAAACAATGCAAAATTCCCTAAGAAAGTTCATGCCCATTTGGGAAAGAATCCATATCAAAAATCTTTATCAAAAACAATTGTAGTGAAATTAAACTTTGAAAGGAGGTAAAGGTCTTGCTTTTGCTTGAAATCATTTAAATTAAATATAATGAAAAGTGATCAGGGTGCTTATTTTTACTTTGTTTTGTGGGAAATTGTGCTGGGAATGTGGATCTATTGTACACAAAGGATGTTGGCTTTATGCTGGAGCCTAGCAGGTTGAGTTGAGAAACAATTAGCTCAGTCAGCAAGCCTTTGAATCTGATGAAGCCAGGAAGTGGTCACTCCCCAGGACAGGGCAGAATGAAGGGAATCAAGGCAGCAATGCAAAGCAAGGAATCATTTTTTTCTCTCTTTCTCTTAAATAAATTGTTATCGGAATTTATTGTGTCAAATTTATCCCAAGGACTATGTGAGTACATTTCACCTTTGGTAAAACAAATAGAATCTTGTTTCCAAGTAGATCAACAGTTCATATGTTTCGTGGCTACTGTNATTTACTAAGGCCTGTCATACTGTCGTGTTTTGGTAACAAAACATCTTTTGAGACCAAGGCCCCAAGCCACCAAGGAAAATGAAGGGCCTCTACCAGGCTGCTGGTCGGATTCTTGTCACTCTGGGGAGCCTCAGTGTATGCTCTGGAGTTGCTGCTTTCTTCCCTGTCTTTTCTTACAAGCCTTGGTTCGCAGGTTGGAGTGTTCGGATTGCTTGTCCCATCTGGAATGGAGCTTTGGTATGAAAATATTTTATTAAATATATTGAGAAAATAAAGGAAGGGGAAACAGAAGAACATGTCCTTTTAAATTGTTCTAACAATACAAAGAAGTCAAAATTCCACATAAAATCAGAATCTGCCTTGGAACATTGCTTTCTCTTAATTGCATTTTAGGTATAAAAATTGTCTTAATAATTGTTTCATCATGTATACATGTGTATTATCTTTAATGGCATGCTGCTCAAGAAATTCTTAAAAAGTTATTTTATTTTAATCCTCTTATCTGATATGCCAAGAAATTAGAACCTATCTTTTGAAATTTGAGTTTTGAATTTAGAAAAAAACATAAATCTTGAAATATAATTTTAAAATAGAGAACAAAATAAAATAACTTTCAAACTAATGCTTTCATTACAAGCACTAAGACGTGTGTACATGGCCCCAAAATTTACAAATCCCAGATATTGGTTTTTCTATCTTTCCCTTTGCATGCAACTGTTTGAACTGAAAACAATTCAAGAAGAGGGGTGATGGACTTCACAATTCACTAGGAAAGTACGTGTGCCACGTACAGTGTCTGACACTAAGTGGTCGCTCATTGTACGCTCAGTGTACGCTCACTGAATCATTGCACAGATAAACAATTGGCCTGGTCCCTTAGCTCTCCAGACAAAGAAATGAGCACATCTAGCCTTGGGAGTAGCTGGCTTCCATGCTTGTATAATTTAAGAGAAGTTACAGAGACCTACCTGTCCAGCAAATCTTTCTCTCATTGATTCCCGTCATGCCTGACACCACTGGAGACTGGAGAATTTAATTTTGAAGTTTTGATCTTAAAACATATTCTATTAAAATAGCCACTCTTCTGTGAAATAGCATCTTAAATCTTTAAATAATTAAAACTTTAACTGGGATATCACCTAAATGCTAGACCTCAGGAAATATAAGTTTTAATCTACTTATTAGACAAATATTTATGAATAGCCTACTATGTCCTTGAGTTACAATGAAGGAACAAACAAGGTTGATCTTAAAGGAACTTGGTCTAGTGGTGTTTGATGAGTATGTGCAGCTAGATGGAGGGATGACGGGGGAGTGGATGGAATGAGGAAACCAGAGGGCTATGTTTTTCTTTCTCAGTTTTTTTTCTTTTTCCATACGTTCCTTTGCATCTATCACCCTAATCTGGATCTTCCCTTCTTTTCTCCAACACCTACCTGAAACCATGCATTCATTCAAAGAAATCTTTGTTAAAGTTCTGCTAGAATGCAGAGATGACAGTTACATTTATTCAAGTGGCTTCTAAGCTTGTTTTGGTGACTCAGAGTCAGAAAAATATTTTACATGAGGACCCAGAATGTACATAAATACATCTACCTTCTTCTCTCTAGATAAATAGATATCTACATCTATTATGCATATATACGTATAATAGATGTTTATACATCTGTAAAACAAAAGTTTCTCAAAACAGTGCTTAGCCTCTATGTGAAACATATTCTGATATTTTCTATTTCATTTAATTTTTTAAAAATTCTATTTCATAAAGTTTAACCATATCACAATTACAGTTCAAGTCCACATTCTTTTGTTCCACTCTTTGCCTATCCTTGGAGAGTCTAACATACTATATTCAACAAATATTCATGATTTTAATGAAGATTACAGATGATTGAATGAAAGCATGTTGTAGGCCAAACATCTATTTTTACCAGTTAGGACCAGAGAAACGAAGTGAGGTGTCTCCACCACATAGCTAATGGGTGACTATTTGATTTCAGGGGTGGCAGCATCAGGCAGTGGAGTCAGAGATAAAGGATTTAGAGAGGCAGACCTGTTTCAAGTCCTGACTTTGACGTTCTTGGGAGGAGGTCAAAAGCAGGACCCTCAACCAGCCAGTTCCTCATTGCCTTTAACTGTAAAATGGGAAATATTATAGACAAAAAGAGCAGACATGTAAAACTGTCTAACGCTAAGATGCACAGCGAGAATGAACACAATTTAAACAATGATTGTATAATAAGGAGCTTCGCCAATTTTAAAGCCCTCCTCAAATGCTAGTGAATACCATGCCTTTCATGTGTGCCCTAATCTCTGTTCAAGCCCTTTGTTCTTAACCCTGTGTCTCCTGCCTCACTTTCCTGTCCTGTTTCCTCATGACCTGCTGAGTTCCCCATCCCGCTACCTCCTGGGCTTCCATCTCCCACCACTCTTCCCTTAGCTCACTTCTCTCCCATCACATCAGCTCCTTGCTGTTTTCAAACATGCCATGATGTGTTTCTGCCTCAGGGCCTTTGCACTACCTGCCCTCTGCCTAAAGCCTCTTCCTGAACTCAGCTCACTCCCTAGCCTCCTTCAATTCTTGATCAATTCTTTATAAATGTCACTTTTTTACGGGGGTCTGCTCCCATTACACTGTTTAAAATTGTAATACCTGACTCCCAACTGGCATTCCCAATCTCTGATACCCTGCTCTATTTTTTCCTATAACACTTATTAACATATAAGACATTATATAATTTTTAAATTTATTGTTTGGTTCAATAAATTTAAAAATTATATAATGTCTTCTATGTGTATTCCCCTCTCCTCCAACAAATGTATATTGCCCAAGGGCAGGTATTGTTTTTTCTATTATGTACACTGCTGTATCTGAAGAACTTGGAACAGAGAGAATGACATAGTATGTGTTCAATAAATATTGCTCATTAAGGATTGTTGAATGACTGAATGAATCTCATGCCCTCCATTCTGTTGGTGCAGAATTTCTTATACAGTTGAATACCAATTAGGTTGCAAGGACTAAAGGTCAGGGCGGTGTTTACATTATACTAATGCAGGAAAAAATTCTCATGGGAAGGAAAGTAATACAAATGCTCAGTCTTTCAATAGTGTCTAAATTTGGACCAACGTTATTTATTTATTTTTTTTCCTGGTGAGTTTCCTACTGAACCACAGTTCTGTCTGATCAGGGTGAACTTCAAATGGACTCTGACTCATTCCACAACCTCCCTTACCAACCACTTCTTTTTTTTTTTTTTGAGGTGGAGTTTTGCTCTTGTTGCCCAGGCTGGAGTGCAATGGCGTAATCTCGGCTCACCGCAACCTCCGCCTCCTGGGTTCAAGCGGTTCTCCTGCCTCAGCCTCCTGAGTGGCTGGGATTACAGGCATGCACCAACATACCTGGCTAATTTTGATTTTTAGTAGAGACACAGTTTCTTCATGTTGGTCAGGCTGGTCTCGAACTCCTAACCTCAGGTGATCGGCCCACCTCGGCCTCCCAAAGTGCTGGGATTACAGGCTTGAGCCACCACGCCTGGCCACCAATCACACCTTAACTTGCCTTCAAAGTATATCTTCATCCAATGACAAGATTTGTACATTTCAATCATATTGACATTTCCTTTTGTAGATGACTTCATATTTCTTTGGAGACTTTTAAGAGACAGATTTTTGCATATGATACAGTACTTTGAATTTTTTCAAAGCCTTTCATTCAAGGCTTTTTAAGTACTTCATAAAGATTGGTCCTCAGACTCCCTAGCTCCCTTTTGACATTTATGTGACAAGCAGTTTTCCTGGAATTTTGGAGCTAGGTTATTTAAAAGCATCAGCTGCTAGAAAGTATTCAGTGAGGAGAACGTAGTACCTTAAGGATTAAGCTCTGTTAATCCTGGAAAACATGGCTTGTAGATCAGTTCTGATGAAAAGACTGAAGCACAATGAGTTTAAACACAGGTCCTGAGGTGCTGGAGATCCCAGTGACTTGGCCAACGGCAAGCACAGCGCTGCACCCAGAGCCCTGCTTAGAGAAGGGAATTTGGGAGAAAGATCAGGCTAGACTTCGTTATGCAGGCCCCAGTTTCCCCAATGGTTACAGAAGGGGCTTGATGACATGACCTTGCAAGTCTCTTACAGCTTCAGAGTCACATGACTTCCAACTGCCTGACGGTGTCAAAGAAAAACCGGAGCTGGACAGTTAGCTAAAACAAAACAGATTTTATGCAGGATTATTGCAATGGGGAAAAAGAGACATCAGTATAGAACAAGGTTTGGTTCCAATATTGCGTGAGCAAGTGGGGATTTATAGCCGAGAAGCAGGGTGAAAGTCAGTGGATGAAAAACTACTGAGGAAATATCAGGGGCAAGGGGGACTCTGGCTATCCCGACCTAGCAGTCTTCCTGCTGAAGACAGGCTGGGGTGGTCAGACATCACTTCAGGGATCGGGGAGGAGGAGAAACCTGACTAGTTATAGAGCGTGATCAGGTATTGAGGGTAAGGGAGTTCTCGCTAAACTGACTCATCAAAGTTCTTGTGCTCAAAGTGGGTTTTACAAGAACATACACAGATGGGCCTACAGGAGAAGGTTCAGGAGCCTGACTCAAGTTTGGTCAAGCAAAGAATTTGTCAGTGGCCCATTTTTCCACTTAGATATCCTAAGCTTCCTTAAGGCCAGCTTGTCTAAAACCAAATTAATCATCTTGTCACCCAAACCATTTTTTTCTTCTCCAACTTCCCTGTCATTGTCTTGGCAACTCAATTTCAAATCCTGGAGTGATTCTGACTCAACCTGTTCCTCTAAACTAGCTCTTCTCAAACTGTAGCGTGCATACGAATCATCAGGTGATCTTGATGAAGGCAGGTTCTACTTCAGCAGGTCTGGGGCAGGGCCTGAGAATCTGCATGTCTAACTAGCTCCCGGAGGATGCCCATGCTGCTGGCCCTAGGACCACACTGGGGGCAGCAATGCTCCAAAGCAGCCCAATCCAGCCCCATAACCATCAGTTGCCATGTAACCTTAATTTTTCCTGCAAGGCATATCCCTTGGCTGCATTCCTTCCTTTTCTGTCTCACTGTATATCTTCCCACCCCTTACCACTTCCCACCCCTGCTCAATTTTATGCCTGGATAGCTTTGAGAGCCAAACTGTGGGAATCTATCCATTAGTGAATTATAAAATCAATCTATTGAGTAGCTAGCAACATTTACAATGAATAGAATAGAATATTAGAATGCATCACACATAATGAGAGTTACATATTATTTGATCAGATATAAAAATATTTATAACCATGATGTGAAATGTATTAGTTACCGTGGCTAGAGTTGAAAAAACAAATCTAAAAACCAGCATTCTACAGTTACTTCTAGGTCTATATTCCAACCTCGTATGCACACAACTGGCTCATCTTTCTAAACCTCTTCAGTAGTCAGGCCACAGTTTCTTCAAAAGGCTTTAGTTAGTATTGCTTCATTGTCCCTAAACGAAGTCCAGACATGCTAGCCTGCATTGTGCAGCCTTCCTCACCCTGGTATCGCCTGGCTTTCAACTGCGATTTTCTACTCCTCCCTGCCAAGAACTGACCCTCCCTTCAGTCCGGACTCTGCGCTCACTGCTCCCTGAGCATGACAGCCACTTCCCCACCTTTGCACACGCTGCTCCCACGGCCTGAGCTGCCCTCCCTCTGGTACCTCCCATTGAACGCACATCCATCCTCAAACCCACTCCAGATCCTCTTTCTCCATGGCGCCTTCATCACTGATGTTTCCCCTGTAAGTGATACCTTACCCCTGAGCTCTCCTCGTGTAGGAAACATTCATCCTTCTTGCCTAGGGTTGTAGCCATTCTCACGTGGCCATTAGTTTTACACCTGAACCGTAAATCCCACTGACAGTCAGAACCACTATTTGTACAATTACTCCTGGGGAATCTTGTTCATCTTATTTGGTCTTTCTGTGCCTCATTTTAAAAGTGGGAGAATATCTACATGACAAGGTCATCGTGAGGATTAGATGACTGAACACATGTGAAGTGTTCAGTATATATTAAGCACTCACTCAATACATGTTAACCATTATTATTACCTTATCAGCACAGGCGCTGGCACATCGCTTGTCTGTAGTGGACTCATAACAGATGCTTGCAAGTGAACAAATTTTCCCATATGAATACAGTACCTCTAAAAGTTTCTATTTCTGTTGTGAGGGCTCCCTGTTTCCTTCAACTCATCTACTTCTGAGAGCTATGTCCTCTACTTAGGCAATTTGAAGATTTAGTGGGAGGCCTCACAATTATGCAATCAAAGTGTTGGCAGCAGCTGTTGCAAAACCCAACTCACAGCCCTGGAAGCGCCTGGAGAGCCAGGCAGCAGCCTGTCAAGCAGAGCTGAGGGAGGTGAATGCAGCATGCGGGCGTTCTCTTCCTTCCCCGCTCACCGACAGACACAGCCTCCGCTCTCCCCTTCCTCACAACCTGGCCTCCCTGTCAGCCAGCTATTCCCCCTTCCGACACCCCCTCTCCCACATTTTCTCTTCCCCTTGACTTGTCCTACCTACTCTCAAATCTCTTCCTTCTTCATTCGTCTCTCCTCCCTATCTAAAAATAAAATTTTCTTTTTTTTTTTTTTTTTGAGACAGAGTTTTGCTCTTGTTACCCAAGCTGGACTGCAGTGGCGCGATCTCGGCTCACCGCAGCCTCCGCCTCCTGGGTTCAGGCAATTCTCCTGCCTCAGCCTCCCGAGTAGCTGGGACTACAGGCATGTGCCACCATGCCCAGCTAATTTTTGTATTTTTGATAGAGACAGAGTTTCACCTTGCTGACCAGGATGGTCTCGATCTCTTGACCTTGTGAACCACCCGCCTCAGCCTCCCAAAGTGCCGGGATTATAGGCGTGAGTCCGGCCGAAAAATAAAATTTTCAAAAAGAAATGGAAGAAAGAAAAGACATCTGTGCATCTCAGGAAAAATAACGCTATTCTATCTCCCATGTCTGGTGAGGAGCACCAATAAAGATGGATACGCTAACCTCTTGAGCTGCCATTCCATTAGCAGAGTAGATTTATCAATCTTACTAGAAGAGGCATTCATACTCAGCCTACTCCATGAAAGATCCTTCTCAAAGTTTTATGTAAACAAAGCAAAATTCAAGCTGGCAGCTACAAAAATAACAGGCAACTGAAATTCTGCCGCATTTTTCAACTTTTTGAAAGGAAAGAAACAGCTCATGCCAAGGTAGTTAAGGCAACCTGGAATCTCAGCATCTGAGAATGACAGCTATCTACTCCGAGTTAAAGCAGCAGAGGGGCGTGAGCCTGACGCCCTTGCTTATCTGGCTTCAGTGTTTCTCTCTCAGACAGAGGAGCGATGTGTCAATTGAGGGCCATGCCTCCCTGAGCAGAGAAAGCCCCAGGCTTACTCCACAGCACCGATGTTACAGTTGCTCTTAATAATTCTTTTGTTTTCTTGTACTATTTATGCTGGCTCACCCTCCATAGGGTCCCTTGGAAACTTTCCTCTTGCAGAATCACGCCAGGAATCTCTTTTGACTACAGATGGTTCTGTTTTTATCCATGGGAGTTTTATGGTATGGCGATGCCAAGTCTGGAATTGTAGGCTCAGCCACATGAGAAGTGTGTGTGTGTTTGTGTGTGTGTGTGTGTGTGTGTGTGTGTGTGTTTCCCTCTCTCTCAAATTCTCTAAATGCAACGTTCAAAATAAAATATGCCAGGAAAATGAAAAGCGAAGTCTCAAAACAATAAATATGCCCGATCCAGCTGCTACAAAAGCAGCATACCACAAACCATGTTGGTAAGAATGCTGATTTGTTTTCCTCTTTAACTTTGCTGATTGTATACATACAGTCACTCTTATTTCTCTGTCAAACCCTAACTTGTACTATTTTTGGAGCTGTCCATATTCTATATCTTATTTTAGGCATCTCTCTTCCTCTTTCTCTCTCAACCTCAAAAGAGTCATTAACCAAGAACAAATGATTTATGAGGATTGAGAATAAGCTATTTCCAATCTCAGTGACCACAAAGTTCTCCTCCATCAGACCTGGTGCTGAATCAAAGAGCCAAGAAATATTTTTTTTCATTACCTACTTCTAAATTCTGGAGACACCATTCCCTCTTTTGTTTAACTACTTTCATTCCGCACTTTGGGCCTTTTTTCTTCAACAGAGGCTATAAAGAAAAACTCTTTTGAGGCAGGGTGCAGCGGCTCACACCTGTAATCCCAGCACTTCTGAAGGCCAAGGTGGGCAGATCACAAGGTCAGGAGTTCAAGACCAGCCTGGCCAACATGGTGAAACCGTGTCTCTACTAAAAATATAAAAATTAGCCTGGCTTGGTGGCATGCACCCATAATCCCAGCTACTCAGGAGGCTGAGGCAGGAGAATCGCTTGAACTCGGAAGGCAGAAGTTGCAGTGAGCTGAGATCACACCACTGCACTCCAGCCTGGGTGACAGAGCAAGACTCCATCTCAGAAAAAAAAAAAGCAAAGAAAGAAGAAGAGGAAAGAAAGAATAAATGCCCGATCATGGATTCTAATGATAATCTTTGTTATTTGAGGAATAAGGATCGTGTATTTGTATCCTACCAGCAGGCCGAGGCTGCAGAATCTCAAAAGAAAGCAAAGAGCAAAAGAGAAAGCCACTTCCGGGTTTCATGACAAGTTCCCATTCTGGTTCCTTCCATTTACAGTTTCATCAGTTTGTCAGAAAGGTGAACAATAGACGATTAATCAAAATAAAACATATGGCAAGGGTTATAAAGCCAAGCTATTATTGTAGTGACACCTTAAAGTAGTGGAACGGATGATTCTGATGGCAAAAGCAACACAGAGAATCAGAAAAATGAGCTTGTGTGAATCATGTCTTTACGACACTAATGGCTTACTTTCCCCGTCATCACAGTTTTTTCCCACTGATGAGGAGGAAATCAGAGCCATAAATCCACTGAGTCATTTGCTGTTCCTTCAAGTTCATGATAAAGTTGTCAAACTGTGAGACAGATTGAACTCTTTCCAGAGGTACCTTCTGTGATGGATGTTATTTTTCCATTTTCTTGTCACAGGCCATCACAACTGGTGTGCTCCTACTGCTGGCTTACAGAGCGTGGACCCAGAGACACCTGGTAAATATACAGATGGCAAGCAGGATGGGAGAGTGGCTTTGAAGGTCAAATCACTATTAAGTGCAGTATGGAACATAAAAAATATGATTTCCAATTAGAATTGAATTTGGTCTAATTGACGCCTTACTACAATGGATTTCAGTAATAAACTATGTTTTAAATGAATAATCTTTTTTTTTTTTTTTTGAGACAGAGTTTGCTCTGTCGCCCAAGCTGGAGTGCAGCGGCATGATCTCAGCTCACAGCAACCTCCACCTCCCAGGTTCAAGCAATTCTCTTGCCTCAGCCTCCTGCGTAGCTGGGACTACAGGTGCGCGCCACCATGCCCAGCTAATGTTTGTATTTCTAGTAGAGATGGGGATTCGCCATGTTGGTCAGACTGGTCTCAAACTTCTGACCTCAGGTGATCCACCCACTATGGCCTCCCGAAGTGCTGGGATTACAGGTGTGAGCCACCATACCCGGCCATGAATAATCTTTATCTGATCCCTCCTCCAAATATTTTCTACAAGTTCTTGTGATGATTATTGTATTTGGGGAGGACAGAGCCAGTGTGAGTGCTCCTAAATTTCATTTTGAAGAATACTTTCAGTAATATATTTTTTAAGTCTCAACTCCTTAATCTGAGATCTCCTTCCAATCTTCTTGCTACCTCTCCTAAAAAAGGATGAAAAGTCTACGCTATCTTGCATTTTAACAGCATAAAACCAGATCATCTTATGAAACAGAAAGACCATGGTATCTGATGACAGATTTTAATTCCCACTGATGCAGGGCTTCTCAAACTTTAATGTATATGTAAATCAGCTGGAGATCGGGTTAACCTGCAGATTCTGATTCAGTAGATCTGGGTGAGGCCTGAGATTCTGCATGTCTGCCAGGCTCCCAGGGGATGTCAGTGATGCTGGACCATGGACCACACCCTGAGTAGCTGAGAACCTTGAGTAGCGATTTTGTTCACTTGTCTTTGTTTTTTCCAGCCCAGACCAGTTGCATTCACATGATGGGAAATGCATAAATAAATGCTTGTTGAATTGAACTAATTTAATGTTTTCCCTGGTTGGCTAGTATATTATTCTCCTTAGGTATAGATTAAAAATGAAGGGTGGGGGGAGGGGAGCATCAGGAAGATTAGCTAATGGATGCTGGGTTAATACCAAGGTGATAGGTTGATCTGGGCAGGACATTGCCACGGCATACCTTCACTTAAATGACAAACCTGCACATCCTGCACAAGTACCCCGGAACGTCAAATAAAAAGTGAAAAAAAAAATAAAAATACAAGGGACATTTTCAAGGGAAAATGAAAATATAAAGAGAGGATCGTGACCCATTTCTCCTTCATTGTCCAATAGGAGAAATTCATAGCCAGCATCTCTTTTTTCATTTTCCTCATATTGCTAAGAACCTTTCGAAATAGCTTGTCCCTGAAGTAACAATTTATTTTTGGTTTATTTTCAGTGGGAAGCTACTTTCACCTTCGTGATTTTGAGCATTATGGGATGTCCACTTCACTTTGCGGTAGCCTTGGAATCTGCTCTCCTGGGCCCACATTGCTTCTATTCATTTTCAGGGATTGCAGGCACTAATTACCTTGGCTATGCAGTCGCTTTTCCTTATCAGTATGCAAAATTCCCTTTAGCCTGTGTGGACCCACCACACTATGAAGAGTACCACCTAACACTTCAAGCCCTCGATCTGTGCCTGAGCTTTGCCCTGCTCTGTACATCCCTGACAGTGTTCATCAAACTTTCTGCAAGACTTATCCAGCATGGACACATAAACGTAAGTTGCAACAAAGGGGGAGCCAGTTCTTGTTCCATCCTGTATGCTAAAACGGAAAGTCTGGTATGTGAATACTTGATCTTTCTCTGTTATTTACCACTGTATCATATACGCTGTTGATATCCAGGTCTGGCACGTAATAGGTACTCAATACTTGTTTTTGAATTAATAAATGGAAATATGTTGACATTATAACTGAAGTTATGGCTGTAGGTAGCACCAGCCAATTTTTATGTCAATCCACAATTTTAAAAATTATTCACAGGAACAAGGCAAGGGTGCCCACTCTCACTACTTCTGTTCAACATAGTACCAGAAGTCCTAGCCAGAGCAATTAGGCAAGAAAAAGAAATTTTAAAAATCCCAGCACTTTGGGAGGCTGAGGCAGGTGGATCACGAAGTCAAGAGATCGAGACCATCCTAGTCAACATGGTGAAA